AAATTATTATATAATTTAAATTATATATATTTTTTTTATATAATTTAAATTATATATATATAAAGAGCAAATCACAATATTTGTATCTTTGATATGTTGACTAATCGAAAAAATATTTTTTTTGTTGACTTGTACGTGTATTATTATTATTATTTTTTTGACAAAGATAATAGTTAGTAAGTTTTTTCTTTTTTTTTTTTTAGTTTCTTGCTCGGTATCTGGAGCTTCACTTCGGCTAATTTGGACCCAACCCGCATTGCGCACCTGAAAATGATAGGTGAGTCTCCCAGCGATGACTGCTGCGTATACAAGATCTCGAACTCGAGATCTTGTTTAACTCGAGATCTTGTTTAAGCTGGAACAAGCCGCTTACCACTTGATCCAACCTTTCGTTGGTATGGTTAATAAGTTAGTATGAGTTAGTTGTTAACAATTGGTTCTCAGATCGGATGAGCATTCCACCTCCTCAAATGAGACGCACGGCCATCAAGTCATTTTTTTGTGGAATTCACAACGGTGGTAAAGTTCGAAACTCTAACCATCTCACTCATCAAACACTTAAAATTTAGAGTCGAACCATAAAACCTAAATTAGTTGTACGAAAATAACTTACCTCGGGAAGGGAGAAAGGCACCCTATAGGCCTGTACTACCTTGCAATGTCTGGATTAATCTGAGTGATACTTCATTACCTATTTTCAAAAAAATAAAAATAAAAATCTGAGTGGTACTTACATCAAGGCACAGATGGCTACTCTACATAGAGAAGAACTGGAGCAGAAACCTAATTTAAAGGTGTCCGTCTATACCTTCACCATTTCTGTTTCAGCACTGCGGATCAGTACGCATGCATTCACTACATGTTAATGCGTTCTTTCTCTGTTTTCCTCCCAGGTAATTAATTTCAATCATGCAAGTTGCCTGTTTAGAAATAAGATTTTTTTTTAATATGTATTTTTAAAATATAAGTTAAAAATATAATATATATTTTTTTTTATTAAATAATATTAAAAAATAAAAATTAATATTTATTTAAATAATTATTTAAT